TTTTTTCCAAATACACTATCGTTTAAAATACCACTGTCACTAAATCTTCCCATAGACCTTACATCAATATAAACAAATTTCCGGTTTGAATCAACAACTGCCAACAAAACAATAGAAAATGTTTTTTTGTAATTAAAAAAATTAGATCCAGACTTAGGAGGTGCTTTAATGGTAACATGTTTGCCGTCAATTGCATCGAGACAATGAGCAAACTGGCAGTTGTTCTTAAAATCATTTGCAATTTTTTTCCAATCACTAGTGGTGGGCTCGGCAAGAACCCGTGGTCTAAGGTGGGTCCACAGTGCATCACAGACCTCTTCTACAAGTTCTGAAACTGTTCTCTCCCCCATCCTATAACTATAAGCCATTGATCTGAATGTGTCCCCCGTAGCTAGAGACCTGCAAAAATACATAAGTTATTTTTTTTTTTTTTCAGTGAAAGAAGCCAAATGTATGTGGAAGAAACTTCGAGATGGTCATAGACAAGCTTTAAATAAAAAAAAAAACTACAACAGGGCAAGCAGCAAGTATTGACAATAGACTCTGGAAATATGAAAAACAAATGGAATTTCTACTACCGCATTTCACAAATCGAAGAAGAGACACCAACGCTTCCGCTACTCAAGATACAGAAATAGATAATAATGAAACTGTTGAAACTCTTGGAAATACACAAACAGAAGAAAATTCTGAAGTGGCAACAAATAATGAATCGCAGCAAACAACCCATTATAATACACCGGCGCGACCTAAAAGAAAAATTGATAAAATAACTGATTATTTTGAACAAGAACAAAAAAGGAGGATTCAAAGATCGAATGACAGAGATTTATTTAGAAAAGAATTACTCAGTCAAGAAAAAAATGTGAAGCCAAAGGAAGACACAGCATTAAAGAAGTTTTTTGATAGTATGTACGCCTATACTAACGATCTGCCAGAATATTTGCAAATGAGAGCCCAACGAAAGATTTTTGACATTGTTATGGAGATCCGAGAAGAAGCATCGACAAGGCAACGTGAAACTCCAGCACAAAATAATTTTTCAAGGCAGTCCCAAAATAACACATATCTAGTTTCCCTTCCATGTTCATCAGATTCAAGTGGTTACGCTATTCCACAGTCTAATGTACATACTGTGCAGTTCGAGGACTCAACGACTTCAACTACAGTACATACACAGTACAAAGACTCATGTGGTGATGACTCAAACTCACAATGCCGTAATCCTGTCTCTCCTGGAACGAATGCCTATCACCATGAAAACATAAGAAGCTCAACGACTTCAACTACAGTACATACACAGTACGAAGACTCATGTGGTGATGACTCAAACTCACAATGCCGTAATCCTGTCTCTCCTGGAACGAATGCCTATCACCATGAAAACATAAGAAGCTTCATAAGTAACCAAACACACTACACAGAGTTGTAGATTTAATTTTTGAATACATTTTTTTTTCTAAACTCTTTTGTTTTTTGGAAATTTTACTTTCCTATAACTAAGTATAATCTATCATCTACATACCTTAAAGTAACTGCTAGTCGCTCTAACGAACTGATGCTCTCTCGCATATTTGTGTTTTGCTTTTCTATATCATTTTTTATTAAATCATGAAGTTCATAAAATTTAGTTCTGTCCATTCGAAAATAATTTGTAAATTTTTCGTCACTTAATTCGTTGAAAAGTGTAAATTCTCCTCGTTCTTCTCGGTATTTGATATGATTAGATACCCAGAATCTCGGTGTTTCTTTTTGGTTACTAACCATAATTGCTAATAAATTGTCGCTTTCAGCATCTGATTCATCTTCTGATGAGCTATCAATAGTATCAAGTAATAACAAATCTTTCGCCATCGCCCTTTTCTACACCATATACCTAGTTCACTTGAATCAGAGACTACTTACTATATTGACATATAAACAAATATATATTCTCGTGCACTGCAGTTTTAATATAATATGTTATAGCTTACTGCCGAGCTATAATATATATTATATTATAGCTCATCTTCGTCCGTAGCCGGCTTTTAAGAGAAAATTTTGTTTGCAGTACAAATAGCCATCCTATCAATATAACTTGTATGCTGGTTCAGAGGTACTTTCAAGTGAATATGGCATCCATCCACTGCTCCAATTGTGCCTATAAACAATATCATTTCAGATTAAATTCATTTTAACTGTTTTTCAAAGACTATGTGGAAAGTTAAAATTAAATTGATTTTAGTGTGCTTACCTGGGTAATTTTTGAATCCTTCGCTCACATGGTCATATTCTCGTTGAGTTCGGGGCCAAAATATAGATTTCTTCTTCAACCCTACAATATAAAGAAAAGCATTCACCAGACACATGACTGTACTTGGTACAAGATGGAAACGGTCAGCAATTGAATGGAGTGTATCCTGTTTTGAGATATACCAGAGAAAAACTAATAATGCCTTCTCAGGATGTTGGGAAATTTCCACCACGATATTTCTTTTTTATGAGGAAATGTGTATCATTTTTCAACACAATTTCAGATAATCTTAAGAATGTCTTTTTCTGCATCCTGAATGAACGAAAAAATTCAAGCTCGTGATAGTGGTCTATCCAAATTGTGTAATCAACAGCTTGGCCTATGTGTACTTCACGAAGAATTTTGTGAAAGTTACTTTCTTCCAACATGTGATGATTAACAAGAACATTATAATTGAAAAATGTGTCTCCAACTACGGGGATCAACCCGATCAACCAGTTGAAATTCATTTTTGAGACTAAACACTAACTACTACTGACTTTAGGCGTTTCATTCAGTTTTTGGCTTAGAATTGCGTAATTGGTAATATATTTACATCTGAGACAGGCAGAGACTGAAGACTTTCGTTAGGTTATATTTATATCAAAGTTGTTTATTGATATTTGTTCACTACATTTCATTGCTGTTAACCGCCTTTGGTTACCGTTTTGTTTTGGCGATAGAGAATGAGTTAACATATTTTCAAGGGTAGGGGTATAACCGCTACGGTTCCTAACGGTAATCAACGGTATCTCGCCAAAAAATCCTTTTTAGTCAAACTTTTCAAGGACAACATTTTCAAATGAATTTCATTAAGGATATGTTCCGTTAATCTACGAAAGTTACCATTGCTCACCAAACTGGTGACATTAGTTTTTGACAGTGGTTTTCTCTGGTCATTGTGATTACAGTTCATTTTCGGAACAGCTGTCATTTGTCTAAATATATTTGAATTGTTTGTTTTTTTTCACATTTCGAGTTTCGACTTATTGTTGGGTTGAGAGACATCAGGCATCGTTTTTTGGACAAAATAAATGATAACATAATAGAAATTCATAATTATGGATGATGGTGCAGCATTGTTTTTTCAATGAAATGATTGATTCTGACAGTTCCAGTACAACTAGTGAAGATGAAATTCAGGCAAGAGGACCAATGAGTGAGTATAATATTCTTGTATCCCAATGATATTAGATATCTACTTGCATATTCTTCAAATTTACTCTAGTTCCCCGTCCTAGAGTACAAGGGTACATTGAAGAAGTTGTAGACCAATATTCTGATATAGAATTCAGGGAGAACTTTAGAATGAATAGAGATACATTCAATCATATAAGTTTGATGATTGATGAACATATTTCATCAGGTGTAGTAGATAGTTGAAGACACACATTCCTTAGTTCCTTATTGTAATATGGCATTCTTTTAGATCAATATGTGGTCGTTTCAATATTGGTGATGCTACAGCTTTAGGGACAACACGACGAGGGGTACAGAGGCCATGTTTTTGTTGAGCAAAAACATATGTAAATGGCCAACAGGTGAATACTTGGAAGAAGTTGAAAATTGTTTCAGTGAAATGAGATTTCCAAACACAATTGGATGCATTGATGGAATGCATGTTAGAATCCCAAAACCAAAAGATCATGGATTATCCTATATAAATAGAAAAGTATTTTCAAGTATAATTTTGCAAGTTGTATTGTAATGTTTTTTAGTGTTAATGAAATTCGAACATGCAATTGTTATTTCTAGGGTATTTGTGATCACAAGATGGAGTTTATTCATTGTTATGCAGGAGAGATGGGTTCTAATCATGATGCTACTGTTCTTAGAAGAAGTGAAGTATTTTCATTCATCAACATGCATGGAGAAAAATTTCCAAATAATACACATTTGATAGGAGACAAATCCTACCCATGTTTACCAGAGTTGATAACTCCTTACAAAAATAATGGACATTTGACAAATGCACAAAGAAATTTCAATTATCTCTTATCCAAGACAAGAGCTACAGTGGAACGTTCATTCTGTCTCCTCCAAAAAAGATTCAGATGCTTGAAAGAATTGTTGGATGTACAGTGTCTGGAATGGGCCCCAAAATACATTATTGCATGTTGTGTCTTGCATAATATATGTATATTACAGAATGATATACTAGACTTTGAATTCAACCCTATAGATGATGAGGATGTAGAGGCACAAATTCCTGAGAATATCAGACAAAGAAGTCGTTTGGGAATGAGAAAGAGAGATCAGTTGTGCTATCAACTGAATGAACCCAATTGATTGATCTGTAATCTAGAATGTTAAGTAACTTGAATAAAAAAAGTACTTTAGAGCAATTGTTTCATGTTTCATTGACCTATAGTCAGTTCTTCAGATAAATAATATTCAATGTTTAGGCTGCAATTCTGTTCAATATTTTATAACTTCAGAAATTACAATGTATTATAATATTATTTGTAGTTTATTACATGAACATACAAACTAAACAAAGATTCTTGACAACAAAATAAAAACAAAAATAAAGCTTCACATTATCACATAAACATACAAAATGGAATACAAAATAAACCTGCATTCTTAACAGAAATAATAAATAAATCATGTTTGGGAAAACCAAACCAGTCTTTAAAAAAAATTAACAATTGCATTAACATAAGACTGCAAAACCTCACCAAGTCCAAGGTAGTGAGTTTTTGCAGTAAGATTGCTACACTCAGTCTTAATCCTTCTTGTCTTTACTATAGTTATCTCTGAACCATTCTAACATCTCTCTCTTGAGATCCATTTTTTCTTCATGCCTTTTCTGTCGTCTCTCTTCAATTTCACTTGCAGTGAATGATTTTCCTCTGGGTTTCTCACCAGGAGAGAAATTCTTCCTTGGGGAACTTTCAGTTTTTGTTACTATGGTATTTTCACTTTCTGTAAATTTTCTTTTGATTTGAACACCACTAGTGGAAGCTGTTGCAACTGGCACAAAGTGGGGATCCCTCCAGAATATTTCCTGGATATCATCAAAAAATTTCCAGGCAACTTTGGAATTGCCAGTCTTTTTCTTCTCCATTTGGACTTTATCATAAGTTTTCTTCAAGTTTCTCCATTTTTCATCGCATTTTGGACCACTTTCATTATACCCAAATTTATTCAACTCCTTGCTAATTTTTTCCCAAACTTTCTTTTTGGTGAAGTTTGGTGAATCAAATTTATGTTTATTATCTTTATATGTGGATATAAGAAGCTTCACCATTTGGTCCGTCCAGGTCTCAGAGTGTGAAGTAGATGCTGTAGATGTTTCCTCAGGATCAGGAAAGTAGCCAACAGAGTCCGAGTCATCCCAAACAGTTTCTTTTGGTTCATCTACATTTGCTCTGTAAATTCTGAGGTCTTCATAGCTGATAGTGACATTCTCACAATTCCTCAAACATACATGATTTGTCAATATCTCACTCTCCATCATTGAAGACAAACTGCCCATCTCCTGGGAGCAATATCCACACGAAAATAAGTCATTATTATTCTAGAAAAAAACATTATTCAATTGAATAGATTCAATTGAGAATTTTTCTTGAGTACCTACCTCTTTCCTTATGGTCAAACAACAAATTATAACAATAACAACTAACGTAAAGAAAAACAAACCAGCTAGAACTGCATTCACCACGAAAAATCGTCGGTCGTTTTGGTTACACAATATCAACCGCTTTTTCAGGAACCATGTTCCGTAAATGACATTTCTTTCAGTTACCAACCGTATATTTAACATTTACGGAACATATAGCCAGTGACCAAAACAACCAAGATGATTTACGGAACATATCCTAAGTAAACTCTGTCATATTTGGAAAATGTGAAAATTATTTCCACCAGTGGAAAAGACGTCACAAGTATCGCTCATTAAATACAACAACGACATAACTAAAAAAACATCAATTTTGAGTTATTTACACAGTTGAAACCTACTTTGGGAGTACTTTCAACTGTAATAACGTCATGGTGCAAGAGTAAGAATGGAGTTATCCAATCTTGTTACCCATTGGCAGACATTTCTATTGAAAATTGTATTGTCTTATATTTTACTTCTGTCAATAAATACATATTATTATTATTATTATTATATGTGTGACTCAAATACTTGCCGGCAGAGAGTGCTCATGTCGTTCTAGTGCAGTGACGCTATGAAGTTTTAAGTAAACGCGACACCGTATCATCTCAGTTGTGAGGTGACACCTATGGTGAAAACGTGTCACAATGGAAGATAGTCTTATCGCGTGTTGAGATCATATTTTTTCAACGGTAAGATGTTTTTTATGCTGATTATCACATCAACAACGTATTATTTGGTCTTATGTCGTTTTACATGAGATACTTGTACACAATTTCCGTTTGTATTATTTAGAAATATGACGTCCTTGCAGTGAGAAAAATATCATTCAAGTGCATTATTTATTTTTATGACAGTATTACTAAAAAGAAGTATTGCATTTTGAATTTGTAACTTTCAACTAAATGACAATATGGCGGTTTTGTTCTTAATATCAGTCTCAAGTTCGATGATCACTAATAAATATTTATACTTATGACCCTATTGTCATTAAAATATTCCTCTCTCATTATTTTATTTTTGCACTCTAATTCATTTTTCTTTCATTATTAGCTCCCAGCTATAATGTGTTCTCGTGGGAAACATATATATCAACTAGTGCTGAAAGCACAAGAGACAAGTAATGTGACAAATTTTGACAATATGGGATCATCTAGTGATGAAAAAGGATTGGTCAGTAGGAATGAACAATCTGCAAAATGTTTGGTAGACAATGTAACTATATCCGAACGTGATAATGAACAGTCAGCCCAGCTTTTGGAAGATATTACAATGATATCAGGTGTGTATTTGTGATACTATTCTACTACTACTACTATCACCACTGCTACTACTACCACTACTAATATTACTACTACTACTACTACTACTAATACTACTAATAATGATAATAATAATACTAACTACTATTTTCACTAATTTTTTTAAAGGAAACCAAGATAGGGCTATCATCGAAGAACCTCATCATTCGAATAGTTCCAGTTCCAAGCCTTCAAACTCATCAAGTAGTTCTTCATCTGCTAGTGAGAGTGACGCTTCATCTTCCTCTGAGGATTGTGAAGATTTAATCAACGACAAATTGTATACACCAGAAAGTGATGATTCTGAGGAAGATAGCGGTAAAGAAAACAATGGAGTTAATCAAAAAGACAATGACACATTACATTTAGATACCACCAATAAACCTTCTACATCTAACCAAGATATCCCAATTTTAACAAGCCCAGCCGATAAAGGAGTGAAACGTAAGAGAAATACAGCAAAATGGAAAAGGAATGTTTCGAAGGAATTGAGAAATTGTGGACAGGCCTATGAAACAAATACAAGGACCAAGAAACTTCGGATGAAAAGGGAAATGAAAGCTCCGTGCGGTGAGAAATGTAAATTGCAGTGTTCGTCAAAGTTCAATCAAGAAGAGAGACAGCAGGTTTTTTCAGCATACTGGTCATTGGGTAATATAGAGAAGCAGAAAGACTTCATCAATAACTCCATGACAGTTATTGTACCACAATACAGATACATTCGTGTTGGTGGTACAAGAAACCAACGACAAAATAATAATGCTTATTATTTCATTAGGCAAGGTCAGAGAGTCAGAGTTTGTAAGTTATTTTTTGAAAATACTCTTGACATAAACGATCGTACAATTCGCACTGTACAAGAAAAACGAAATAAAGTGGCAAATATTCCACTCGAACCAGATAGACGAGGAAAACATGGAAAACATAAGACTCTCGACCCGACCATTCGTGAAGGAATTCGACAACACATAAATTCAATCCCTAGGATTGAAAGCCACTACACTAATCAAGTCTTAATTCTGAATGGTTGCTATAAAATTGCTTTGGTATACTGTCAAACAGGGTCGTGAACAAAAATATTACTTCAAGTAGTACTAATATTGATTGTTGAACCAAAATGTGCCATTGGAGTTTCTCTTGAATATATGTGATCTGAGTGATAATGATTTCATACTTTCAATCACAGTTCTTCAAGAATGATGTTTTTTGAGTTATGACGTTGTTTTATTTAATGAGCGATATGATAACATCTTTTGAATGCTGGAGAATTTCCATAAATGGATCAATTTGTTTATGGGAGTCTCTGAAGATAGAAGGTTTCCATTCTCTACTCACACGACGAGTTAACCAATATGCTTTAGAAAACTTTTTTGGGGTAGTAAGGCAGCAAGGTGCTAACTCGTTCAACCCAACACCAAATCAGTTTCACAATGCTTTCAGGACAATGTTTTTGATAATTTTTTTCTTCATTCTGGCACAGAAAATTGTGCTGAAGATTTTGATAGTTGAAGTCGAATATCAGAAATCCCCTATACAGAAGACTCAAGCTGTGTGAATGAAATTACCCCTGCTTCAGGACAAGCAGTTATTTCATTGAGTACACAGCACTATGATTATAGAAACGTTGATATTCCAGAAAAAAATGCAATTGCATATTTTTGTGGATATTTGTTGAGAAAGTGCCTTTGCGTTCATACTTGTCCAGTTTGTGAACAATTCGCCAGAGTTCAAAAAGATTTGGATTCTACACGTTCCTTCTGCTATTAAAGCATATGAGAATTACAACAAAGACACAGTCGAACATGTATGTATGCCCGGTGAAGAATTGTTTATGTATATTTCGAGACTAGAAGATAGTTTCCATGATAATTCCCAAACATATTCCTTCCGGTAGTGGAGCAAGTCAGATAACTTGGCTATATTTTAGGATGATGGGTTTTTTGAATAAATATCTCCAAACAAGAAGGTCATACTCTACTATGGAAAAAAATAACAGGCCGGAAAGCTCAGAGTGGGATTCTTTATCACAAATAGTAGTGGAAGATGATCAAGAAAATGAGATCACAAAACTTGATAGTCTCAATAATGAATGTGATGAAAATAATCGAGAAAATGAGAGCTTCAGAACTGACATTCAAAGTGATGCTGGTATTTCATTTTCAGAAAGATGTGAAAGTATAAAACAACCTCAACCTCATAGCTCGAAAACAGTGGACATACCTAAGAAAATTACAATCAGAAGACCCATTCTAAAAAGAACTATGGAAAATGATATTATTCTCCGGCATACCATCCCAAAAAAAAAAGTGAAAACATCTGAAGTTCTAACAGCTTTGACACATTTAACAAAGTTATGAAACAAAAAAATTACAGAGCTCCAACTAATGCCAACTAATGAAGATGAATATTTTGTGAAGAGTTTGGCAGCAAATATGGGTGTGTTTTCTAAAAAAGATAAAATCATGTTGGAAGAAAAATTTATCAGCTCATGAGTGATCACTTGTTTCTTTTTGGTGTATTTGTATTGAGAACATGTTTTGTTTATTTTTGTAGATATATTTTGTTTTTTGTGTAGTATACATTCTTTAGAATGTGATAGCAGTGTTTTTTCGTATTTGAAGAGTATATATTTATTTTGTAGATATTTTCCTGAATATTTTTGTTTTCAGATTTTTATGATTTTTCATCATTCATTTGACTGATTTTTGTTATTTATGTAATATGTGTTGACTGCATGATTTTTTTACATGAATAACAAACTATTCAATTTTCGAGAGTATATTATTGATTAAAAAAATAAAATTACCATATCCTAGGCCATAAATCTCTTAGGAATACTTTCAACTCAACATCATATCTAGTGTGAAGTGTGGCCCATTTCAAATGGAAACACCCCAATGAAACATACATTTCTCCACCAATTGGGATGATAGGTAAGAATAAAATTATTCCAGTCCGTTGAGAAATGTATGTTTCATAAGGGTGTTTTCATTTGTAATGGGTCACACTGTATAAATAACATGTCATTAAATAACTACTGAATTAATTATTCTAGATAAGAACTATCTAGACAACCTCCTTGGTGCACTAAATTTCATTGGTATTTTAATGCTCCCCGTGAAGAGACAAAATAGTCAGTAAGTGTATCTCTCAAGTATTTCGTGGAATTTGAAGAATTATTTGCACCAAGACGTCCTACAGATGTCAAGTTGTGGTCTACATCACTCAATGATTCCACAAATCCTGTGGGGCATTATTTTCTGTCCTTGAATGGTATGTCTTCTTCTCCTTTTTGTATGTAATTATGCAGTACAATGCAGGCCATGCAATTTTGATGCATAAATCTTCATTGGCAATAATTGGAGTTCTTAATCGAGCCCACCTTTGAGCAAGGATTCCAAATGTATTCTCAATCATTCGACGAGTTCTGGAGAAGCGAAAATTGAGAACAGTTTTTCTTTCTCCCAAATATTCTCCAGGGTAGGGACGCATTATGTTAGTGTGTAGTGGAAATGCCACAAAAAATAAGGGAAAGGTATTTCAGTTCTTGGCAATGCTTTTGGTGCTAGTACATGGAGAGTACCTTTGAACAATGCCTTCCCAAATTCACTGTTCTGAAATACATTACCATCATGGTTTGATCCTTCTCTCCCAATGTCCACATAGGTAAATTTATGAGATGCATCACATGTGGCCATGAGAATAATGCTGGAAATGTAAATTCAATAATCATCTATTTGGAAAACTAGAATCAAACAGTAGGTACATACCTGAAGGATTTCTTATATGAAAAGTATAAGCTTTCTGATTTTTTTGGGAATTGAATGATTATGTGTCTTCCGTCCACTGCACCAATGTTATTGGGAATATTTCACCTTTTGTAAAACCCTTCAGATATTTTGATCAATTCCTCTGTGTTTGGTTGTGGCAGTACAATCGGTGCTGAGACTCTCCATAAAACCTCACAAGTTTCTTCCAATATACAGTGCACTGTTGTTTTGCCTATATATTTATTTCAGGCTAGTTCCTGCATGGAACACCCTTCTGACAATTAGCCGAAATGCAAAAGTTTGTACTCATTTGTACTCATTGAAGTTGATGTGATGAGATGCTGTACTTACTGCAATGTAATAGATAGCCGTTGACCTGGTTCAATTGGAAGCTTAGTTGGATCTTGTTTGATGTATGGTCCAATACGGTATCCGGAAAATTCTTCGAAAGCAATTCTTCGAAGACAATTCTTCGAAAAACAATTCTTCGTAAATGCAATTCTTCGAATACCATATTCTTCGAATAAACAATTCTTCGACTAATAATTCTTCGAATAACAATTCTTCGAAGTATCCAAAAGGAATGACTTTGTTCAGAGATATAAATCATGAGTGGGTATAAAAGGGATTGTGTTCCATAAAATAAAATTAGTTTTAATTTAACCCTGTGCAAGTAAATATGGATGCAGAATTTGTTTGTTCAGAAAAAGGAAAACGTAAATTGTTGTTCGAGGGACATTTTTATTTTAAAGATGTTGAAAAAGGTGAAAAAGTGTATTGGAAGTGCGCATTTTTTGAAAAAAGAAAAACAAACTGTCCAGCGAGAATAATTACTGTCGACGATAAAATCAGTAAAATAACAAAAGAACATAATCATATTGCTGACGCCTCAGAGGTGAAAGGTCGAAAATAAGTAATGATCCTCCGCACAGAATTATATCAATTGCTTTGAATACATGTTCCATAACGGCAGCTCCCAAGCTTCCAAGTGTTAGCAGTATGAAACGGAGTATTCGCAATATCAGACAAAAAAATCTACAAGGACCAGCTCTTCCTACTAATAGAAGCGAAATAATATTTTTGGAGGAATATACGAAAACCTACAAATATGAAAATTTTTTGCTATATGATGCCGGTCCAGTGGACGAGAGAATATTAATTTTTACTACAGAACAAAATCTCCAATTATTGTCTAACAGTAAGCATTGGTATATTGATGGCACATTTAAAACCGTGCCGTTATTATTCCAACAATTACTAACCGTTCACGGACTGCAACACAATTTATCGGTACCTTTAGTTTATGCACTCTTACCAAAAAAATCAGAACGAATTTATGATCAATTTTTTCAAGAACTTAAAAATTTGAAATCATCTTTAGTGCCTGCAAAGATTACCACTGACTTCGAAAAATAATTGATTAATGCCTGCAATAGTGCTTTTCCAAGTAGAAAAAGAGGCTGTTTTTTCCACTTCAGTCAATGCATTTTTCGAATGATTCAAAGGAATGGATTAAAAAAACGCTATGAGACTGACAGTGAATTTGCT